CCTATTCCCAGGGACATTTGAGAGAGGGTGACAGTTGGGAAAGCTTTAGGGTGGGGAGAAGATGGCTGACTGTGTTAGGGAGAATGACTAAAGCAGGGATGTGCAGACTTCTAGCTTGTGGGATCCTACTTATGTTTACCTAGTATCCAGAAGTTCACCAACTGGAGACAGTGTAAAGTAGTGGCACATGCTATGGAGGCGGGTGGACAAGATGCCTCTGAGCAATGCTCAGCTCAGAAATTTGTCCTTAGTGCTAGAACCAGGCTTGTCAGCCTTTACACAGGTAGCCATTCCTGCTTTCCTTCAAAACATACTTTTTTTCAGCAAACTCATTTGGGAACTGGGAGAAAGTTCTGTAACTGTTGCTTTTGTGAAACATTTGGGACCAATTACACAGAGCTCTTGGAGTAGATCCTAAACTGCCTTCTGACTATTGCTACCAAACCTTGGATGACCACATGAGAGATCACTATTTGAAGTGCTTTCAGCCAATCAGCCTCCATTTAAAGCTGTCCTGTTTGTAGGACTGTGTATTCAACACATCAAATTCTAAAGATAAAGACATATAAGAAGTGTGATCCACCAACAGCAGACGAAATAGGAAAGTACGCAGGTCATCTGGTCACAGTCTTCCATGCTATGATATGTACTGTATTTCTAGTTAAATTATAATAGGCAACAGTGTGTGTGGTTGAAAAGGAACTGAGGGGCTGGACGGGCGCCTGCCTTTTTTCCAGACTTCAAGGGGCAGGGAGGGGCCCCCACCCACTACATGTCGCTGAGCCATGGAAGTCTTTTGTCTCCAGCCTAGGTCTTGTGCTGCATGGTTAAGCCTGTATGTGTGATTGCGCAGAGACCACAAAGATTTTCAGCTATATATAAACATTAGAAAATGCAGGGTGTGCGCGCACGCATGTGTGTTACAGTTGTGAAGATGCAGTCTGTCTCTCACTTGTCAACAGTTCAAAAATGGTCATCCTAATCTATACATTAACTTTGGTGAGCTTTCTTCACAGCACTCAGAGAGTGCTCTCACATGAACTGATAGCAGATGAACCAGGGGGAGTTTCCCACACCAATAGTCACAATATAGACTTTTACAGCTGTTGGCTGACTGCCTTTTCTTTGGCAGAATGTTGGTTAGTCATTTGGGATGGCAGCTAAGTGGTCATTGGCTGCAATGATAGCCATGGATTGTTCTCAGGTGTTTCGCTGTTAGAATGTCAATGCCGCTCCCACTGCAGGGGCAGGGCAGTGAGAGGGCAAGGGAGGGTGTGGACACAGGCAGAGAAAAGCAAGTATTTCCAGCTGTTCACTGAAGGGGGGGGGATGAGCAGCTTTAGCTTGAGCTGCTCTTACAGAGATTACTCTCTGGAGATCTGCTGCTTGCTGAAGTAAGGTTGTTTCCATCATGCTCTGCTAATATACTTGTAAATAAAGCAAATAGTATGACGACCCTGAAGTCTCAAGTGCTCTCTCTTCCATGGGAACAAAGTCTTTGGCTCTGTCCCTGGAACTTCTCACCATGGGAAGACCTAAAGAAGGAAGCATATTGCAAAAAGGGTAATCCTAATGTGTTAACTGAAGTATTGCTGGTTGTCTGAAATACCAGTGGGAGTTCCAAACTATGCAGTGTCTCCTCAAAGTACGCCATTATGACCTGAGAAATTACAACAGCAGAATCCTCTTGGGCAGAAGAGTCAGATTAATTACAACAAAACTGACAGGAGTCAGTGAGTACTGTTTTCTTTTCTATCCACATCTTAATGATCAAAACCTACTCCTTTCCCTACATAGATAAGGCAGGATTATGTCTCTGGCCTCAGGCCAAATTTCTACACTAGATCAGTTATGCAGGAGCTTGATAAAACTTACTGGAACAATGAAAAGGCAAACACAAATGAAAAGGAGAAATTAGAAGTTTTGGGAAGATGTATAAAGACCACACGGTCCTTTCTGTTTATCCCATACTGCAGTTTTTTTCAGGACAGATTTTTACAACTATCAATAAAACAAATAAGATCTCCCAATAAAACATCACTTGTGAAGAGCTGGGAACTTTTGAAATCATAGATTAGGTCAGCTGTCAGCTAGCCGCATCTGCACTTTCGAAGTTCACCATTCTCAGGAGGGTAGACTGCCCGGAATGGGAAAAGAGGAACGAGGATGCCTGGACAGTCTTCTGCCCATTCCTGCTGCTCGATGTTTTGTGGAAAGGGGACAAGGGTGCAATGTGGGACAGAAGCTGGCTGCAGGAAGCACTGCAGAGGAACTGACAGCAAAGCATTTGCATTGGGTCAGGTCTTTCCGGGATTCAGAAAACTCTTGAATATTTTCAGGGAATTTCCCTTCATCGCCCAAAGCTAGAAAAGAATGAGCTCATTTGATAACTAAGATAAGGGTGGAAACAAGATGGCTGAACTAATCAGCCCAACACTACAAGTCTTTTCTCATGTTCACCTATAGAAACAAGCAAGCTCCTAGAGAGAGAGCAATCAGAGCAAGCTAACAGGAGTCCGACAGTGGGATTGTGCTGGAAGGCAAAGGCACAGAGGAGAGTGGTCTGCAATAAGCCTAGGGACTCTCTTTGTGCTTCTGAAAGCTGCGACTGAAGGGCTGTGGCCTAACTAGTCTCAAAAACTGTGTGGGCAGGGAGGCTCATTCTGTTTCCTGACTCCTAGCTAAGCAGAGGAGGGAAAACTTGTAAGCCGCCCCGTTGTATGTTGTATGTTGTAAGCCGCCCCGAGGCTTCGGCGAATGGGGCGGCATAAAAATGTTTTAATAAATAAATAAATAAATAAAACTGCTTCCGTTAGTATAGGGACTAAACACATGCCAAGTTCCAGAGAGTGAGCAATCAGGTGAGTGAACGGGGAGAGTTAACAGGAGGTTGGCAGCAGTCAAAGGGAAGGTACTTATTTTTTAACACATGCTTATGTACTAGTAGGACTCTGTAGTTAACCTTCAGGAAAGTTAGGACAAAGCACAGGCCATTCCAATATTATCAGCAGAATCAAAAAGGGAGTAGAGACTAGGCACTGAAAAGCCTCTTTTAGTAGTACTCACCGGCAAGGTCTCTGTCATGACTGGGGTTTTCCCCCCTGAGATCAACATGGCCTACCTGTGAAACAAGTGCAAGCTAGTAGCTCTGTTAGATGAAAAAGTATTGTTGTGGTGATTGTCCACCCTCAAGGGAATGAGAAGACAGAGTTCTCAGATCAGCAGAAAGGCAACAGCAAAGTGAAATACAGGAACTGGAAGAGCAACAACAGGCTGACAGGAGCATCTTCAGGGAAGAGGAAATGAAATAGAGCAAACTCCCTGGGAAAAGGTGACAGGAGCAGAAAAACTAGAAGATACTGTGCACCAGTGGAAATACAGATGTTTTTGCATTAATGAAAGCATCATTTCTAATTCATGTGAAACACAGTGGTATTTCTGTGTGAAATACAGCTTGGCTCACAAACTTAATCCGTTCCATGACTCTGGTTGTGACCCAAATTGGTTGTGACCCAAGTCAAATTTCCCCATAAGGTTCAGTGTAAATAAGGTTAGTCTGTTCTGTAACTATTTTTTCAATCAGAAAAATTTGAAACAGTGACAAAGAACAACAAAGTAACAAAGTACTGTACGGTACAGTGAAGAACTTTAACCTAGGTGGGGGGAGAGGTTATTGTTTTGAGGGAGAGTCCCCCTCCATAAGGACAATGGGGAGATCTTTTTCAGGGGTTTCCTCTCTTCTTTGTCTCTTAGCTGCAGGGTCAATTTTGGTGAAGAATCTGTCTATAGTTGCTTGTTTTTTGTATAGTCACTTGTGGGGGGGGGGGGGGAGATAGCTGAGATTGCGCCTGTCTTTCCTGCAGGAGCGCTCCCATGGTCACGCGCGTCTTCCCTGCATGAACGCAACTGCACGAACTCAGGAGGTGGGGAGATGGCCGCGATCTTGGTCGTCACCCAATGCAGAGTTTGTGACCCAAGTCAAAATTTTCATGAAATTTTTGTTTGCGACCCAATTTGGTCATGACCCAAGGGGTCCGTGAGCCGAGGTACCACTGTACTAGTTACCCTCTACTCAGCACTGGTTCTAGTACTAGTTCAGCAATATTCAGCAGGAGGCCTCATCTGAGCACTGCGAGAGGTTCTGGACACCACAGTTTAAGAAAGACGAGACAAACTGGAAAGGGTTCGTAAGAGGGCAACAAAGATAATCGGGACTGGAAACAAAGCCCTCTGAGACTGAAAGAATGGGGCATGTTTAGCCATAAGAAGAGATGATTGAAGACAGATAGGATAGCATTCTTCAAGTACTTGAATGGTTGTCACAGAACACAAAGGCTGGCTGGACATCAGGAAAAACTTCTTGTTACAGCAATCTGACAATGGAACCAATTATGTATGAAGGCTGTAGGCTCTCCCATGTTAGAGGCATTCAGGATGCAGCTGGACAGTCATTTATTTGTGATGCTTTAACTTGGAGTCCTGCACTGAGCAGGAAGTTGAACCACAGAGCCTTATTGGCTCCTTTCAGCTCTATTATTCTATGATTCTAGTTCAGAATCAGTGTCTTTTTGGCAGGAAGATATTTTAGCTGAGATTATACTGCCTGTAACAAACATAAGCAAAACACTCTATCTCCTTTTCCACCACATGAAACCAACCATAATATTAGGATATTTGAGGTCAAATTGTGTAAGCTGCGCCGAGGCTTCGGCGAATGGGGCGGCATAAAAATGTTTTAATAAATAAATAATAAATAAATAAAATCTACGTCCAGATGGTCAGAAGCAACTGGCTGACTATACAGGCATTCCTTTTAGTGTGAAACCAGAGAAGACTTAAACTATGCTACTTGAAAACACCACTCGAAATAACAAACTTACACTATGTTGTGTATATGTTTGAGTTTTCCTTGCACATCATGTTAAACATTAGGTAAGATTTGCAGAACCAGGAGATAAATTTATACCATCGATAAAAATACACTGATTTAGGCAACCACATTTAATTCATTCCCATTTATTGCAGTGATCCTCCCAAGACAGAGTAGTAACTGCAATACTCAACGTTGTTAAAACATTAGAAAAGCCATTGGGTGACAGTTACAGTACAGTATTATCAAAATATGACATTTTCGAACTGTGGATAGTACCAACCAATCCTTAAATTAAGACCATAGCTCATTTTAAATAAACAGAAAGGCATATAAAAAGAATTATGTAAAAAGGAAATCTAATACAAACATAATGAAACAATAAATAATCATTTTTCAGCTACCTTCTAAACATTTCCTAATTTTTAACATAAAATTGCATCTATGAGAGATGGTATTGCTGAGTGTCAATGGAAAACAATTATTTCAAGTCATTAATGATTGGAACTTAAAAAACATGGTGCCAAAAGTACGAGTTTAATTTATACTAAATAGAAATTGGAATGGCTGTATCACAAACTTGCTTCTTGCTAACAGGTAACATTTTAAGTTTACTGGAATATTAGAATAAATTTTACAGTTGTTGATTTTATGCTGTGTGTGTGTGTATGCAGTAGAGAATTCTTGTGAGAATTCACAAACTACATTTTACTCCCTTCAACATATGCATATTTAGATAAATTTGGTATTTTATACACAGCACACACAGATAATTTTCATTTGGTTCATTTTACAGATCACAAGCAGTCGTTTACTTGAATGAGCAAAATTTTAAGTGTACCTAGTACACTTTTTGGGGATAGCAGCATAAATCCATGCCCTACTGTCTGTCTGTACATTAAAAATGGAATTTCTGGTTCACTGAATTTGTCCCCTACCATCACACCAATAAGCACTGCAAACCTGTAATAATCAACAGTATAAGTTACACACTGGGAATGTTTTTCAGAAAATAAACTGCTCTTATTATAATTTCCAATTTCCTTTCAAAACTAGATACTGGCATTGATTTATTCTACCTGGCAGCCAACTTGTATTGCACTTCTGAAAAAAGGAGAACACAATCAACATTAAGAAGACAGTGTGAGTTGTAACTTAGTATAATGCAGATCACTATAGAAAAGAATCATGTGTTCCAAACAAATTTGTTTGGGACTTCCAAACAGATTTTTTTGTTCATTTACTTTGATCTTCTCTAGCAAATAATAAAAGATATATATTCTCTATCTTTACTGACAAACACTGAAATTAAATGGTACCTCATATTAATGCCAAGAGGCTGAAAAGGTTGCTGGACCACTCTTACAGATAACAGACATAGCACTATCACTAACTATTGAATAAAACCTCAAGTGAGTCTTCAGTAAACGGTTCATAGAGTAAAAAAAAATATAAAGCAGTCAACACACTCACGCGCGCACACACAAACAGGGCACACAAATTGGCAGTTCTTGAATACATAAGGGTGTCATATACAAATTAAAATGCTAAGTCAAGAAGATCAAACCTGAGTATTTAACAAAACTAACTGTAGATTCTGACATGTGAATTACTCTTGGATGCTTCTAAGAAAAGGTGGTCCACTTAGCTCAAATGAACTGTTATCTTTATATAGATGGCTCTCAGAAGACTGAAGCATCCTGTTAGAGGGTGTCCATAAACATCACTAATATTTACAGTATCCTACAACAGAACTGCAGTTTCAGAGTGAAACTGCAGAGTGCAGACTGGCCCACTAACCTTCAAACCAAGATAGCCCAGTGGAAAAATAGGTAGGGTGGACTCTGAGAAAATCTCTATTAGTATACTTGAGCTTTGTTCAGAGGTACAAATTTACTGGTAAAAAGTTCTAGATATTAACATCATGAATTTAGTTGTTATTACAGCCAACTTGCCCCACTTACCTGTTTCATATCTAACAAATACCTTTAAAAAACAAAACACACATACACCATTCCGAGTAAGAAACATACAACAGTAAGAACTAATACCTTGATGGAAGACCAGAACGCAGCATTTTTATTGTAAGGTGGAAGAATCTAGAACTAAAGGAAGTTTGATCTATTTAGCCAATAGCAGATTGACATTCTTTATAAATTTACAAAACAGGATATATGGTGAAATTTGGTTAACTTCAGAAGGCACCTCAAGGCTAAAAGGCTTTTATAAATCTATAATCCTTTCATTGATCAAAAATAAACACTTTTATTGCTGCTGAAGTAGCAAAGAAAAACCTGTTTATTCATTCTTCAGTCTACCAAGGAGTATTTCCCCATTAAGTGAGATTAAATTACAGAAGAATTAGAAGAAAACTGAAGTTTTCACAACTTTAGGAGTATAGTAACTTTCCTTGTGTGCTTTCAAGTCAGTGGAATAGTGAAAGAGCAGTCACTTTTGCCTGTGTGTGATGTTAATATTTTAATCAAACATCTCAGTCTCTCTTTAGGCACTGAAGTACCATTTCTTTGTAGCTGCATGTTGTGCAGTAGAGCTTAGGAATAGAAGGTAAGAACACTCTGATGATTCCCACGGACAAGGAGAACTGGTGGAAGGTCCTTTGAAAGAGCTTCTATCCAGGCCATGTATAGTGCACTTGATACTGCACTTTTCCGTGCAACTGGCAAACTCCTACAACCAAAACAGGAAGGGAAAGTAAACTGTGGTGTTAATGTTTTAATTACAGGGACAGACAGCTACTATTTGTTTCATTATACAAACTGACTGTACTACCTACAACATTTTGCTTAGAGGCAATAGTAATAGGCCACAAGAAAAATGACTGCCAAATGTTGTCTCATATAATCAAATACAGTTCTTCGGTTCTATGATCCACAGAACTCAGTTGGGGAAGATCAAAGGAAGCACACACAGAATTGGACACCAGTTGTATTATTCAGAATTAATATTTGATTATTCAGAATACAGGTGCTATAGCCTTATAAGTCCTCAGGACTCTTTAATTTTCCCCTCCAAGTTTATGCTAGTCAGACAAGCACACAAGTAAGTTATTTGGCAACTTAACTGATCAGTTGCGTGCTGCCATGATTACTTGATGACATATTTGTTGGCACAAAAACAGCCTGAGTCTGTGTGGTCTTGCTGGGAAAGACTATGCTGGGAGAGAGACAGAGGGAGTATGGCCATTTGATACTGGTTTGCTTGGCTATGGCCAATACTCCTGGATTGACCATAATATCTTTCTGTGTTAACTGTCTAGAGTTGGGAGTGGGGGCTACTGAAGTGCAGTCATTTGCTTCTACTTGGAGGGTTAGCTCCAGAAGATGGTGCTTGGTGACTATTGCTCAGCCCCATGGACTCTCCAGCAACAGGTTCCTCAGGGAACCATCTTGTCCCCCAGGCTATTCAACTTCTACAAGAAACCACTAAATGGGGTCATATGGAGTTTTGGAGTGTATTGTCATCAGTATGCTAGTGAAGTGCAGCTCTGTCTTTCTTCTTGAGCATGTAAGGCTACAAATGTGCTACACCAGCTCCTACAGACTGGATAAGGCCTAACAACCTGATACTCCATCAAAACAAGACTGATTTATATTCATATAAAGAGAAAGCTACACTGTAAGCTGCAGTGGAATATTTTCCTCCCAAGTGTGTGTTAACCATGAGCTACCTAATTAGCATAATAAACCACACATAACATGGGTTCTTGTGACCTCTGAACCCAGCAAAGGTAGGCAGGCTGGGTGGTTTACAAAGTACCCTGAAACCTGTGGCTTGTTCTAGGGTTTCAGGGTGGCTTGTAAACCAACCCAGTTTTCCATCTTGGTTGTATCCGATGTCGCAACAACCTGAACACAGTGAAGGTGATTATGCTAATTAGATAGTTTGCAACTAGCATGCACAGGGATGAAGGTGCACCACTGTGGTCTATTTTTCCCCTTTGATTACGAGAATGTGGTCAGTGGAAAATCATGAATATTTCTAGCTCTTCCCCACCCAAACTTACCAGTGCCTCTTTTTTTGTAGCAAGGAAATACCAGAGAGATTTCCCTCTCCAGATGGGTGAGACAAGACGGCCTGCTTTGGAGGCTTCCCTTGCTCCCCTCCCACCTTCTCTCTTGCTATGGTGATGACAATTTCCTGCAGTAGGAGTTTAACTGATTTTATTAAATTAATAGGCTTTCTGGAAATTTGTTCGTAAGTATGGATTGTTTGTAACTCGGACATTTGTAACCTGGTGACTGCCTGTATACAGGTACACTAAGAGACCCCAAATGTTTTTCCTCTAAAAAGCTCCTGCTGCAAGTAAACATGATATAAGTGTTTATCTGATAGATAAATATGATATACTCCAGTTCAATAGTTACTAATGCATAGGCTGGGGGAGTTAAAGAGCCATCAGTTCCTAAGGAAAACGATCAGGTATTGGTCATTAAGCTGACAGAGAGTTTTCTATGGAGTTTCTGACTATGATAGCATCCAAAGTACTGACACCTTTTTCTGAGTAGTGTTTTGGCATTTCTAGTATTTACTGCAAGTGATGCCAAAAACCACAGAAAACAGTACTTACATGACAATTAGATTAGCTGTGCTTGAATGTTCTTTGAGTAACTCATTTAATCTAATCTGGCGGTAGCTCTGCAATTAAAATGAGAACATTGTTGTTATAAGAATATACATTTACATTTTAAAATCTAGAAGTAGCTGAGGTAAGAAGTAGTAGTATAGATGTAAGAAAACTCAAACTCAATGCTATAGAAAGATCCACTATACATATAAATCATAGAGAATGAAATACATACTTTGGTTTTGTATAGCTCAATTTCATTATCTGTGATTCTCCAAGGTTCATCTTCTTTTATTTTATCTGCAACATCTTGCTCTTTATCATCTTCATGGAGTCTGAATGGCTCAATCATTTCTTCAAAAGCTGCAATGCTGGACAATGACCATACAATTGAAGTGTATCAGTTCTTAGATTGCTAGATTTAGTATTTGTTCTCAAAGACATGTGAGTAAAATGCTACATTTATTTCTGAGATAAATGCTATTTTTTCCATCTCAAAATGCCATTAAAAATTGCAGACCAATTGGCTAGAAACCAAATAGTTGCTTTATGTACACTTAAAGGCTCGGGTATCTGTAAAGATTCTCCCTCTGTGTATCCATGAACTGCATTTCCTTCAAATGTCTCTACATGTTTTTGCAACTTACCTTAGTTTCAAGAGATTGAGCTTTCCCATATGAAATAGCAGACAGCAGTTTAAAAATCAGAAGGTTATGAATGAAAACAGTTACTATATATAACAGTTACTATCTTAAATGAGGCTGTAACCCAGCTCCAGGCCATTTACATCTAAACTGAATTTATTGGTTTTACTTAAGATTTTAGATTTTGACCTGGTTCACAGACCACAGTAGCAACTCAGGAATGCCCTGTTCCTGGCTTGTTTCATGAAGTGTTATTCTGGAACGCTTACAGCTAAACAACCTCAAAATTATTTCAGCAATTAATTGACCATGGTTTGATGTTGTTAACAGGATGTTCCTGAGCTTTTGAAAGCACATGGCTCATATGCTTTATTTGTCCACACAATTTCTGAGTTAAACTGCTCAGAAACTGCTGCTGAGACACGCACACACAGACCCTATCAATACCTGCTCCCTGGGATAAGGCAGATTTCAAAGAAGAATCTTAAGAAACCACAACTATCACAATTATGTCTAAAGCGAGCTCTACTCTGAACACTATGACTTCATTACAAGGAAGAGAGATGGGAAACCTGCATAAATGGTGAAACTCTTTTCCTTCCATTCTAAAAGGTGAACCGTTATAATTCCTTCAATTTCAAGCTGAATATAAAAAGCATCTGTGGCTGCCATGTAGCGAGATGCTATATAAAGAGAGGAAAGGGAGTGTTCTTAAAACTTCCATAAAATAGCTAAAATTTGAGGGGCTTAATGACTCTAACTAGTTCTAGAACAGCGACAGAACAAAACTACATTAAAGAATAGATTGTAGTTTAGAAGCCTTAGTAATTTCTTTAGTATTTCTTAGAGTAACCTTTCTTACTTTACCTGTTCAGAAATATATTACTGTTGTTCAAACTTTTATTCTGATGGAATAATTATAACTACATTATAACTAAATTAAGGTGCACATTTGGCAAAAGTTCCATCTGAATCTTAAACAATCCTGGTGTTAGCATGAATATTACAGCTATGAATCTTATTTAGTTCATTATATTTAATGGTGTTCTTGTTTTTATTTCATTGTTATATGACCTCCACTTTTAGTTCATTATTAGAGACTACTATATTTTATAATGTTTTTTTAAAGAAAATGTTGTTCCATTTTATATATATAAATTATTTTATTTCCATCATAATTTCTCATGGCAACTACCTAAAACTGTAATGCTCCCAGCTATATTTGGTAGAAATGACTATAAAAATGAGAAGATAAACTTACTTTTCTTTCTTTGGCTTTGTATTGATATCACCAAGGACCATGATATCTGAGAAATCTATCCGAAATTTGCTGAGCAATGTAGCCATCCTAAAAGTGGTTTTTAAAAAGAACATCACAGTTGACTGCATATCTGAATAATTGTAGTGAAACCTATTACTGTTTAAAGAGTTCACAGTTATCTTTAACAGTCAGTTCTAAATATGGTAACCTACTAAGAAAAATGTAATTAAACTGGTTTCTGTACAATGGTGCTTTGCATCAGTAGACAGCACTTGTGCTTTTGAAAGGCAAGAGACTTGATTCCCAGCAAAGTTTCCTTCCTGCTGCTGCCCTCTATGCTAAATTCTAGACCAGGGGTCCTCTAACTTTTTCAACAGGGGGCCAGCTGAAAGGTGCTGGCGGGAGGCATGGGCCACTGAGGAGATGGGGGTGCGCACACATGCGCACAGCGGGGGGGGGGGGTGCGTGTGGTGAGGCAGCAGCTTGCTCATGCGGAAATTGTTTTCTCCCAGCGAGGCCAAAATGATCTCCATGGGAGCAAGCCACCGCCTTGCCTCTCCAGGTATGCACACAGCAAGTCCAAAACCTCTGAGGTGGGCCAGATAAATGGGCATGGCGGGTCGCATCTGGCCCGCGGACCGTAGTTTGAGGACCCATGTTCTATACTGTTCTGGAAACTGACCAAACGGTAAGAAAGGTTTGGGGGATTAAAATGGGATATTTGCAAAAAAACAGGTGCCTCTCTCTGACTTTCACTAGCAGAAGGGCTTTCCATTAGCACAAAGTCACCATGATATATAATCCACCCATGATGTTTGAAGTTTGTGAGGGTCTTTGGGAGATTAGACACACAATTTAGTCTTTAAAAAACCAGCTGTTGGTAAGTTATTTGAGTTTCACAACAAATGAAAACAGAGAACCAAAATCTATTTCATCAGCTAGATAAAAAAGTCACATGATTAATAGCCTGAATATATAATTCAAAGTAAGAATTCTGGTACATTGCCATTTTGACTTTTCCAACTGAAGATATAAGAAAATTCATGCTAACAAGATATTAAAGGAGTTTTACTTTATTGAACTTACGCTCTTCTGTCATGATCTATTCTGTTTATTTTTCCACCAATAAACACTCTGATCTTACAGTCCTTCCATTTTTTCTTGGTTGTCAGTAGATATGGAATCAAAAGTGTCAAACCTACATGAAAGAAATCAATGTTCACTTTGGAACTGTGCTAAGATGATGCTTTTTCAAAATAAAAAACTATTCAACATTTCTAATAAACTTGCAGTATGTTTAAAAAAAAGCTTACCCCCATCATCAAAAAGCCACCATACATCAATATTATTTTTCCCTTGTTTCTTCAGAAACTGAGAACTTGCATCAAGCAGTCTTTGATCAGCCACATTCAGGGGAACAGACAGGCCTTTGGGATCTGTGTAATCGACAGGTGATATTGGAAAGCAAAAAAACTTTTAATCAGGCATCTCTATCTCAACTGCAGAAGATGGTTTACTTCTTTGTTAAATGATATTAAGTACCACACCAAAAGTGCTTAGGTCTAAATAAGTTGTAATCTTTGTATCAGCCTCCCTCAATCTGGTGTCATCGGGATCTTTTGGACTACAACATCCAAAATTCCTAAACACTGGCTATATCAGTAGGGGCTGATGAATTTGAAGTCCAAAGCATCTGAAAAGAGCTACCAGGTTGAGGAAGGCTGATTTATATAAATATATGAAGATACTGACTATTGAATTCTTCAGAATGCTGGCTTACTATTCATGAGTAGATGTCCTGGTACATGTTGCCTAATTTCTTTTACTTGGCTACTCACGCAAAAAGAAGCAGCTAAACTAACCAGGAGCTTAAGATGGTGTAAAAGTTTAGCATTATGTCCAAATATAGACCTCGGCTTGGCAATGCTCTAACAAGCCTAGCTCTAGAAGCCAATTTCAAATCTTGGGTTCAAACTCCTGACTTCTTAAAAGAAAGACAACCCAGATGTCTCCATTCAGACTATTATAAAACCACTCTCTCATCTGCTCAGCTTCTGGCAAATGTTGCATATACTGTGTTTCATAAAAATGACCTTCTGAATTGGAAAACTACAGAAGGGGGATGAAGGGTTCATTTTAAAAAATGGGCAACCACAATACATGCTGCATTTTTCTAGATAGTGGTCTGAGATAATCAACATGGCATTTTCATTAAACCTTTGGCTCAACGAGGCACATGTGCTTTCATACTGTGTTGTACTTTCAGGAGTGCCTTCAGGAGTGTCATTTAATGACTATACCTTAAAATGACTTTCACAAACCACTATAGTCTTTTCATGGCAAGAAAACGATTCAAATTCCCCCAAGTCCAGTGAATACAAATTATTTTTTCTACTAGTGTTAATAGTGCTTTTAATTGCTTTGTGATATATGAAATAACATGTACAAAATTATAAACTGATGTTTACAATATGGAGAAATGGAATAAAACCAAAAGATGAAAAATGGCCTGCCTTTTTTCAAAAGTGGTTGTGTTGGAGTCTTGACATCTTCTTCCTCTTCTGGACAATATTTAAAGGTGAAAAGACAAATTAATAGATTATTTGTGATATCAATGAAAATGTGAATTCTTTACTTTTAAGGAACAACTTAAATCAGTATAATGGAAAAACATGAATGAATTTGATCAATTTTGTTTATGAATATATGTGATCAGCATGTTAACACACTTCTCACACACACCCCACACTCTACTGAAACATGTTTACCAGTATGTTTGATCCTCCCCAAATAACAAACTGGCTAAATGAAAGCCACTACCAGCTTAATAGAATCACTTACAGAGCAGTACCTCAATACTCCAATTTTCCTGTAGTCAATGATTTTCAAAACATGTTTTAGACAAATTGTGCCTTTTGCTGTGTAGCAAATAAGTCTCCTTTCACTTTCTATAGCAGTGCAAGTTGAAATAGAAGTGCTGCTCATGAAGCTCACATGATCTTGAAGCAGAAGACCCCAATGTATCCATGTGTTCCTACAGATTTTAAATCCAACTTGAACTTTAGAAGTAGGACTATACTTCTTGCACTATTACAGACAAAATTCCACTAAGTAAACTATTACCTTTATGAATAGTAGTTTTTTCACCCACAGGCTTAGAAGTTACTGCCTCAGTCTTCTTGCTATAATCCACATTTACTATAATGTCTTTGGTTACTGGAGATTTTTCTTGGGATGACCATACTTCTTCTGTGAATATGAAAAACATATTATTGAGCAATTCTGAAAAATTAATTTACATGCTAGAACAAATTCATTAGTATAAATAGGCAAAGCTAAAATCAAGGAAACTGAAGTAGTATAGTTCTGTGTAATCGTGAACAGCATGTATCTCAAGAATGTCATTTCCGTACCGACAATCTAAAACGGAGATTACCTGTTCCTCCTATTTTTAAACAAGGGGTTGCGTGGTGTTGTGAAGAGGCATACTAAGTCAAGGGTTCGAGGCAATGACAGTGCTCCTGCTTCCCCTAAGGCAGTTTGGAAAGACGTGCCCCCTCAAGCTTGCTTTCACATCTTCCAACAATTCCACACTAATACCAATGAATGCACTGTAAGCACATCTAGACTAACAATACTGTCTTGCAGTTGCTGATGCTGCTCCCCCTCTGCAGACATGTGCCTGGGCTCTGAAGGCAAAAGTAAAAACTCCAGTGCCTTCAGGACAGATCACCATACTTTCTGAATGGACATCAAGTCCTGATCACATTTCTCTTGAAAAGTACTCAAAGCTGCTTCTCAAATGGTGATGCCCGAGTCTGTTACTTTTCCACTGAGCATTTCTGCAAAATGAATTGGGATGCTTGTATTGGAAGGATATATTGTTGGAGAACTTGTCCCCAGAGAGGAGGATACCACTGCTAGAAAATCGAAGATGGAGTGCCTGGATGTACTATGGATTGTATTAAAATACTTTTGAGGTGGATGAAGATCAACATGGACATATTGGAGACCATTTTTTCATGCAATATAGTACTCAGGATGTTTTGACATGTCTGGATGCAGGAAAGATGTTGCAAGTTAGAAACTGTCTGCTAATGGCCTGGTATCTGACTATTGGTAGATTGCTCATGGAAATCCCACTGCAGGGCAGCAGAATGGCATAGAATGGCACTGTATGTGGCTTCATGTCTGATTGCTTTTTGTGGGTTGTGATTTCTTTACACTTTGTTTAGCCCATGCAGTTTGTATCTCCTTGCACTGCATGGGAATGCAAAAAAAAAAAAAAATAGCCATCTAATGTCTGTGTGGAAAACCAGGGAAACAGAATATCACACCTGGTACTCCAGAGAAATTCCTAGGTCTCTGTGCTTATCCAAGGATCTATTACTGTGTCTAGCTTAGCTTCCAGAAACTTGCTCAAATTCGTACATGCTGTTTCTCTCCCTCCAACTTAGTCAGGGCCCCAAATGCATACCAATCTGATTCTCATGGTGCTTACATGGAGAGATCTTATGAGTGGCGGCAAGGACAGCTGTCTGCCTCTTCCGAAGAATCTGTGATACTACATGGGAAGCAAATGACTCTAGAAAGCAATCTTTGCAGACTGAAGTACCTACAGCAACTGTTTCTCTGTTGAATACTAATTGCCCTATACAGGGAGGGCCATAACAGGGCTCCAGTGACTAGGAGAATTGGCTGCTCATAGAGCAAGCATTTCGGTAAAAGTGGGGGGAGGGGAATGTACCCATCTGCTGCACAGATGTAAAACAATTTTACATACAACGTTTTATTAAGGCGTATACAATATTTAGTGTCTAACATCTGCCTCAAAACCCATGTGTGTGATGCACAGAGACCACAAAGAAGAAAGGATTGTTTTCCAGGTGAATCTTTTGGAAGCCTTGCTTTAGGGAACAGAAGACGACACAACTAAAACTGACAAGATAACAAGGTCCTTCAAGGTTGCTGTGAAGATTACACACAGCCAGCTCACAGAGAAAGGCTGCAGGACATGGGGGAGGAGACTGCCAAGGACTGAAGGGCGGTGCAGGCAGCAGCAGCATGGTATGCTGTTCGGTTGACTTCAGGAAGCAAGATAGCTCATGAGAAGAGGAATGACATTTTTGGCCGCTCTTGCCCAAAGACTTAGTAATGCTTTTCAAACAGCCACAATGAAAACTCTCTTCCAGATTCAAATGACACAACAACCCATTTTGGGAAGATAATCACATGTGTTGTCAGGGCGGCTTGTTTCTGAAGCTTCAGCTACCTTGTGCCAGGTATGCCAGCTTCAGAAGACACAACACTCCATTGTGGCTAGCTATCCATGATGAGTTGTGATGTTACACAAACCAGGTCACTGCCAGCTTTTCTGACCAAGAGTAACACTTAGAAAGGGCAAAGCATGGACAATCATGAGTGGCCTAAGGCACAACGAATCTATTCTAAACACAATCTACACACATTCACCAAGAGCTGGTCACACTTCATATTAGTAAAGGGGAGTGTGTAAGCTTAAGACCACTGTGTTATTCTTTGATAAAGCACTACCATATTGTGTAAACTACCACCTCTACTCTGGTTTTCTTGACATGGCTGCTGCAGTCTGCACTAGCTTTATCAAAAGTCAACACGGAATTGCCAAAGCCATTCTTGATTGCAGAAATCTTGGCACCTGGATCTTGGAACTCTCAGAATCTTATGGCATGTTTCACACAACATTTTTGTGATATTACATTCCTTCAGGTTGCAAGATAAAACACACAAACTGAGACTTGTTGCACTGTTCCACTATTCTATTCCAACTGACCAAGAGTGAAATTTAATGCTTCGTTCATATTTTTCTTGGAGTGTGGTATTATGTCTTTCATAGTTATGTAGCTTAACAACAAGAATTCTCAGAAATACTAGGCAAATCTTCCAAGCATTCTTATGTGAAGGACAAACATGGTACTGTCTTCAAAAACATTTGTAAAATCATGCTGCTGTGAATGTGTGTGACTACAGCACTTTTATCCTTATAGTTTTCAAAAGATGTAATCCAAATTGCATAGGCCAGTTTCAGTACAACTCAGTGATGCTTTCAGGGCTATACTCTCATCAAGAAATATACACAAAATTTAAAACAAACAAACAAACAAACAAACCCACACAATTAGAAAGACTATATAAACATAAAAGCAACACAAATGAATAGAAAAAAAACTGCTTTAGATGACACAGTGCAGCAATATAGCAGTAAGTTTCTAAGGCCATCGTGCATGATTAATCCTGAAGGGCAAACTAACTGCTAACTGACAAAGTCATCAGTGAGAATGTCTGCTCTGGTGTACTCACTAACTTTGTTGACATTATCAGTAGGTACTTGAGCAGGACCTCTGATGCAAGACATCCATTATGGGCAGAATCATATGGGTAAAGGCTTTAAGGTAATTTAGTCCCAATTCATTTAAGGCCTTAAACATTAATACCCACATGTGGACCCAGAAGTCCACCAGTAGGCAGTCAGCTACTTTAACTTACTTGAAGTTTAAAGACTAATAGATCAATAAGAGATATCTGGCCCCAGAGTTAAACTGTAAATTAACTATTAATGAAATGTGCAATTTTCCTATAAAAACTGAGCTTTGGTTGTAGGCTGATATAGAAATGAAATGGTGGTGGTGATGCACCAAATTAACTTACACTGAATGTAACACTTATTTTGCATAGTCAGTTCACTTTCATCCCAAAATGCCTGCAAAGCATTATTTCTTTTGTAGTTCGAAGATACAAAAACATAAAAACTTGCTTTGTAAGTTTCTATTCAGAACAGTTTTTCTAGTAGCTTTATTTTTAGCCGGTTCCTAAGATGCTAAAAGTTACCTTGTCCCTGAAGATGAGAAATATCCAAACCTTCCCTTAGACGGATCACAACCACTCCATACTGAATATCAAAGGCATCACTGCAATGTAACAGAAGAAATACGTTTGTGGAAAACCTAAAAGCACTCAAATATTGAGTGGTAAAAAGCTCATCCCTATGCAAGTTTAGATGGAAAAAAGGTTTGCAACTCCCAGTGTGTCCCAACTCCTGGGGAATGCTGGGAGTTGAAGACCTTTTAGTGTTTAAACTTGTATAGGATTGTGCCATAAATTAATATAGCAGTACAGAAAAGGAACATGATTTAAAGATATCATGGAGGGTCACTCTAACTAACAAAATAAGCAGAAACTTTTCCTAGAATGTTACTAAGAAAGGTCCTTAAGCTAGGTGGTAGTGAATGCTTGAATAGGAATATTTCTGGTGGGCATGTAGAACTTTCAGGAACATCCCCATATTGAATCCCACCCTTATAATATTTTGTTCATAGGCTGTCCTCTTCCAAAATAATTTTTTCCCTTAGAAATGAGAAAGACTAGGGAAAAATCTGGAAATGTGTGTATAAAAGGAACACTTTTCCAAGGGCTTTTTCTCCTCCAGCTCCGAAAGTGAATACATTTTGGAGTATGAAATAGTTTCCTTTAGAAGACAAGGGGTTCATATATTGTTACCTGGTCTTTACTCCCCCAAATTGCTTTCCAAGAACTACTCAATGTAAGACTAGAGATACAAAGTTTCTGGAAATGATGAGGCCATGATAGCAAATAGTTTTTATCCTTCTCTGTAAGTTTTCTAGCATTGCTTCTATTCCTTATTAAGATTATGGGCCTAGTACATTCTTGCTCTCAAGATCCTTTTCTGTTGACCAGATTTGTTAATCTCCAACTCAACTATTTCCTCACAAACAGAAACAGATGCGTTACATCATTCTTTCTGCCTCCAGCTCTTCCTGCTTCTTTTGATTTCCAGAATGATTCAGATGTTTCAGGAAATACTTAAAGAAATTCCTATCAGTAAAACATGAAATTGGAACCTAATTATGTGTGCATAATGCATAATTTGGTTTGCTCATTAAGTTATAATGTCTGAGATATTAAATTTAAAAGTTTATTTTATTTAGTTTGACAAATTTACTAAGATCACTTCCAAATGCTTGTAATTTTAAATGATAATTTTATGAGCAAACCAAGTTATAGAGAATACAAATCGTGTTCTTAAAATTACTAGATGGACTGAATCCTATGGAGATAGGCTTACACTCCTGAACTTGGAAGCTCATTTGGAGGCAATGCAAAAAAGCAGAGGCAGTGCAAGTAAATGTTAGTTCCCTGCTTTTCCCATCCCATTGCACACTTTCATAGACATCTAGCTTGCATGTCTTGGAGTGGGATAGAAAGAGCTTGAAATGGGTAATTTGTATCATGATTACCAGTTTTCCCTGCTTTTCCCAAAATGACCTTCGAGCACTCTCTGAAGGCATTTTCCTGACCTCAGATAATAGTTGGCATGGTTTTTTTTCCTACATTATCTGTAAGAAAGTAGAACTGGAACTCTGATTCCTAACTCATAGGTTAGGATGCTCTCTCTGATCTTCGAGCTGAGAATCTGAACTATCCTATGGCTCCTCAATGTCTAGAAGCCATAGGATCAACGTGACTTAGAACTGTAAAAAACACTACTAAATAAGTACTGAATGTTTTCCAATTTTTCCCCAAATACCAATTTTTAGGGAAAAACACGGGGAAGAGTTAGGGTTTCACATGACTTCAGCATCTCCAAACATTACTATTCCACCAGAGGAATTGTACTTCTGATGGAATGGGGCTTACACATCATCATTCCATATCATTCCCTTGCCAGGAAGGCAGTCTGCAAGGTAGGGAGGAGTCTGCACCCTTCTTCTGGTGAAACTACAATGCTTGACATTTCTGAGCCATGTGTAAATTCTTTTTCCCTTGAGTTTTTCCAAAAACAAAGAGCAGACAAACCAAAAATGTAAATGGGAGAAAATTGGAAAATATGCTACCACTGGCAGAACTACAACACTGGATCTGATGCTATCTGTTTACATTTTCTGAAACATTTTCCCTTAAAGAATGTTGATCTTCCTGGATATGTGATTCCACCTAATTAGGGATCATGTAGCCAGTATGAAAATAACAACCAAATTTAGTTTCTGGAGGTAGTCTAACCTGGATCAACACTTTGTCCTTAACACATAAAACCTATGGCACATTACTTTTAACTTTTAAAACATTCTGAATGAGCTTTCAAACCAAGGCTGTAATATTTTTGTTTTATCAGAGTATGCTTCCCTGTAACTCTCACATTAATACAGAGAATAATGTTTCTGTATTAAACAACCTCACTATGTGTTATTTTTACTTACTATATACATATAGTGCAAGTATAATGAAATTCCAAAGCTGTATCTTCACAATTACTGTATATGCTTATCCTTCTACTCACTGTAGGAGGTTGATGTAGGTGTCGATGTCATTCATATCAGCTGACTGCCAATCTTTCTTAAATCCAAGAACAAGCGTGTTTGGTCTCAGTCGCCCCAAGCCTGCAGCCTAAGAAAAATAACACTTAACACTTGGGGAGCATTATACCTAAGAATATGCTTCTATATTGTTTGTAAAAATGAAAAAAGGAATTCTCCTGCCCTATGCAGACCTGTGAATTTGTTGCAGATTAGAGCCAGAGTTGTCAAATAATCTAGGTACAACCTTTTTCATGAGGGAGAAAAAAATTCAAAACTAGGAGAAAGTAATTATAAGTACAATCTCTTCAGCTGATAGCCCTGTTCCTCTGTGCAAGGAAATAACTGAAAACATATAATTTGTAGGAGTAGATTACTTCTTCACTCACTGACTTAACCTTTCTTGCAGTATCCACCATCTGAGGATCTAGGTCACCATAATATTTTTGCTATTAGTTGAGAACTCCCATCTTCTTGGATAGTTTATCTGCTTGCCTCTGTCATCAGGCAGGTAAGTTGTGATGACAGGAAAGACTTTGTTGCTTTACAATGGGGGTTGAAGGCTTTGCATTGAGGAATTAAGACCCTTTAATGTTTTGCAGTTTTCAGGCCTCTCAAAACTATCACCTACATAAGGGTTGGGCAACTTATCACCTGCCACATGTTTGGGTCTACAAATTCTCCCTGGACTGATGGAAGTTGTTGGTTAAAATATCTGGATGGCCACAACCTGCCTACCTATCCTCTAAGTCCATCTAAGTAAATGCAAGAGGAGAGGCTATATCAAAAATGCAGAAGAAATGTTTTCTTGTTGGGACACATATCCTTTCATTGTGCCTGATCCTGATGTGTAATCCCTTTGTCCTGCTGCAGGGGAAGGCTGGAGTCTGGCACTTGCCAAATTAGTTAGCTCAATGTTTTTATCCCTATTAGCCTGGCTGGTGATGGGAATAATGCCCATTTGATGCCCACTTGCTGTAACTTGCATTCTGGTAAGCCACTCATGTCCCTTACTATAATGGCAGCTATTTGCATACAGGTTTCCTCAGATCCTTCTTGAAATGTGGTAGATAGAAAGATGAAGGACCTCCACTTTATAAATTGTTCATAGTTAGTGAAGGAGTCCTCACTTTTTTCTTCATAGTATAAGAATTAAAACTTGCTTTCTAGTATAGAAGGACAAAACATAATCCATTTCTGACAACCCCTCCTTACTGAACTTTGCAATATTAACTAGAACGGTACCAATTCTGAAAAAAATACAGAAGACACCCACTTACAAATGGAATGTGAGGGAACTAACTGAAAATGCATCTGACAGAGAAGATTACTACCAAAGCCTAAGACTCCTTTATTTTTACCTAAGCCTGTACCTGCATTAAGTACTGTGCACCATCTCTCAAGTCTTCTGCATGTACTGGAGCATAAAAGGCTTTCATTTTATTTTTAATAAGCCACCGCTGGTACCTAGCCAAGTCAGTTGACAATTCCTTTATGGCCTGTCTGCGGGGACCCTAAAAAAAATGGAGGATGAAATACAATTACACAAACACACTCACACTCCTTAGAAGTCAAGCTTCCTAACTAAGAACTATATTGAGCAAGTTCACATATCACACTTAACTCACCCTATAAATAAGCCATGGCAGATAAGTTGTTTGATGAACAACTCAGGGTGTCCCCAGCAAAAATCAGGCTCACCATGGGTTTTTTTCTCTATCTAAATGTTTCTGCTGGTATCCCCATGTCTTTCATGGCAGAACCTGTCTTCTCTCTTGCTCTTTTGGGGGAGATCAAAAATTGCACTGAAATTTGTACGTTTTTGTCAATTTCTTGCAGACGCACAAGTACATACTTATGGCTATCCCATATGTATAGTCATGCCTGGATAGTTCACTTGCCTTTTCAGTTATCAAAGGAATTACAAGGTGTCTGCCTATAGAATTAATGCACAACTGCCAGCAGTAATTTGCATAGCTGTCAACTGAATGGTACCAGTAAATAGAGGAAAAAAGCAGGTGCATGAAAAAGGTATAGGGATATTATTACTTCCTTAGCAATACAAAGTCTCAATTTTAATTGCTGAACTGAAAGTTGTCACTTTCTTTTTTCCCTAACACCCAAGCTTTCTTCAAAAAGGAGAGATATTAATACCTCCCATCCCACTTTATGTGGCTCCTTTTCAGAGCACTTACTGCTGTGATTACTGCAGTTCCCTAACCATTTTTTAAAACCCTGCAAAAATATGATCCAATGTTCATATTTTTGAGAAGTACTTGAAGGTTAAAAGTGTGCCAGTTTAAGGGCGGGAAAGTAAATGAAGGAGAAATTTGCACACCTGCAGCAAATGTCCTGAAAAGGGAATGTGGAGAGAATGTCTCCCTTTTCTGGAGTAGTTTCAGATTCAGGAAATAGGTAGAGAACACTGAGAACTGTCAGTTCAATACTTAGAATTGAGAGGATTACATTGTCAATTAACTGATAACTGGCTCCCTTTTGGTGAAACTTTCTTGGCCACTGCTATCCCCTTTATTGGTGCTTTTGCACTCTCTGCTAGGTCCTTGATCCCTGGCAGCTGTGCACAGATTAGCCGACACGTAGTCTTGCCTAGAATAAATTTTAACAATGTGAAATTGTTAAACTGTACACCCAACAACCCTTGATAAAATTACACTATTAGGTTCAGATAACACAATAACTTACTGTGGTTCAAATAACTGTTAGAACAAGCCAAGGGTTCTTAAGGGTGGGTTGTTCATGAAAAATAAGCCACTGCAGTGGAACTACATAGGTTCAGACAATGTAACAACCTAATATTCCTGGTTACCCATGGTGATTTGTTATATAGTGCAAACCAGGTGAAAGGCTTTAAAACAAAGCACCATTTTTAGAAGGTATCTTTTAGACCACAGACCAGTTATTAGAGAATAGATGTCCTGACTATAAAAGAGACTACTGTCTCTTTTGGCCATGAAACCAGATTTATTAATTTATATATAAGCAACATTTAAAACTGTTATCAAGAACTTCTCTCAAACCAACTGATAAACATTTTCAGTTTTTAGAACGTTTTGCAAAACGAACTGAAATTATGTTTTCTACTACAGAAAATAATAGTTTCAGTACTTTAAGCCTTCTGTGCTTGAAGGGTTTATGGTATCAATATTTTCAATTCTTTATATAGCTCTCCATATACAGACACAAGATGAATGCACAAGAAGGAACCTCCTAACCCAATTTTTATGCTTTTCAGAAACATGTTGCATCAGGCAATCAAGTTAATCACAGGCATATGAAATTATCCATAGGCTCACCATATGTACATGTCCACAGATCATCAATCCTACATTTTTGGTGAAGGCGTGAACAAGATGAAGCAAAGCTGGGCGTGAGTTAGGAGCACCACTCATGACAAGGCATTGTGGCCTAGTTTTAGATTCAAAAGAAAAGTTAGTATTTCTTTTATATCATTTTTATACAGTCCACTAGCCAAAGTTCTCTGGGCAATTTACAAAAATTGACATGCAAAACTTTAATAACAATTTAAATATAGTTACAATGGACCCCATAAAAACAACTGACATTGAAAGTCCCATTGTAGACTGTCAAATCCCTAGGAACAGAAGACTGTCTCAATTTCTGGCATTTTTTCCAGGTAGATCTCAGTAGTCATTGTCTGGATTGTGAGTTCTAATTCTTGTGTTACCCCACAGAGTGAAGTCTGCAAACTGCAATGGCTCTGACATTGATAAAAAATAGACTACATTTCTTAACTCATGGTGCATACCTATGTAACAGTCGTCATTCCCTTTTTATTTAGCTAAGCTTATGTTGCAAATGAACAATGCAAAATGCGCTACTTGTGCTTACTTCACCATAGGAGAACTTGGGTCTAAACCAACAAGCAAGATAGTCCAGCATACAAGCACACTTGAAACCATGCACATTTCAAATAGATACTGATGGGGCCACTTTCAACGGTTTCCTGTTCCGCACAGTGAACAGGCATTAAAAGGCACTTAGCAGTGAAAAGGATATCCATAAGAAATGAAGGCGGCTATGTCACCACACATGCCAAACTCTGCCTAACACTTGTCAAAGCTACGCTTTCAGCACACTGATATATTTGATTTCAAGTGTTTTCACTGTTAAGACTCTTATTCCTGCATCTCAAGCTGACCTTTATTGAATTTACCTGAAATTTTTCACATGGTCTTCTACACCGCTAAGACGGACAGCATGCTGCAATGCATTTAGATAAGTCAGGGCTTGAGTTGAAGATCCCCAATTTACATCTGTAAAAAGATTGGTTTTATATTAAGACAGGAAGAAACACCAAGATAAATGTACTCTAGTCTTATTTCCAAATGATCACAATGCGGGAGTTTGGAGACAAAATTAATACTCCTCCTACTTTACAACTTAAACCGCATCTCAAGTTGTTTAAGAGGCAGAACCTTACATATCTAAATAAAGAGTAGTAGAGTCTGGATTGAAGGCTGGATTGAAAGAAGAAATCTTTTCTAAGATAAGAGAGGATAAATGATACTAAGAGGTTCCACTAATAATTTACTGATAATATGCCTACACTGTTTATTATTTGAAAGTCTGGCAAACTGCAAAACATACATTTCAGACAAGGAGATTAACAATAGATATGAACACTTCTCAAGATTTAAACACTCTTTGCATGTAATAGCAGCACATGGGTTGTTTACACCATAGGCTGACAAGGCCATGCAAGAGTTAGCAAGTGTACTACCTCACACCAACCTGCTGGTTTGCATCCAGTTAAGAACATAGCCCAGGAAAAAATGTTCCTAGACTGTTTTCTAAACCGGATTGCAAAGCCAGAGTGAAAAGCAGGTGAGAAACAGCACACTCCTAACTAACCGTCAATTAATTAAAGCATGATTCATCATTACATTCAAAGATTTTTTTCCCCATAGCTAGATGGGGATTATGGAGATGCCAATAGCTAAGTAGCACCAACCAGTTTCTCACAACTTTTGGCTTTGCTTCACAAACGGGACTTTATTAATAACATGAGAGCTGTAGACAAGGTACCAGTTTGTGGGAGGGTGTTAGTTAAAAGAGTATACGTAAATGACAGTGCAAGGTTTGCAAGTCAGTTTGCAACATTCAGTTCCATAACACATACTCTGGGTTCTTATGAAATGTGAAAGTGGATGAAAAGAATCAAAAGTAATTCTCCAGATACTGTTCCTTTTCTAGATGGTCACAATGTTTTTTTCAACAAACCCATGGTAAGGTCCCACTTTTGCCTCATAAGTATATAGTGTTTTCTAAGGAAAACAACTTCTCCAGTTGTTTCTTCTAGTGCTTTCTCCAGTATTCTTCTAGAAATGGGTTATTGCACTGTATATACCCTAAAGTACGCTGATGATACCCAGCTCTACCTCTCGTTTTCCACCAATCCAGGTGAGGCAGTGGCTGTACTGAACTGGTGCCTGGCCGAGGTAATGGGCTGGATGAGGGCCAATAAACTGAAGCTCAATCCAGACAAGACGGAGGTCCTGTTGGTTGGCGGATTGGGCTTCGGAGAGGATGAATTGAACCTTGTCCTGAATGGGGTTGCACTCCCTCTTAGGGACAAGGTCCGCAGCTTGGGAGTGCTCCTTGACCCAGAGCTTTCACTGGAAGCTCAAGTAACAGCAGCAGTGAGGAGCGCTTTCCTCCAGCTTCGGCTGATTTATCAGCTGCACCCCTACCTGGAGTACGACTGCCTTGCAACAGCGACACATGCGCTGGTGACTTCCCGTCTTGACTTCTGTAACGCGCTCTACGTGGGGCTACCCTTGAAGACGGTCCGGATACTTCAATTGGTTCAAAATAGAGCTGCCAGGTTGCTGACGGGGACTGGACGTTATGCTCACATGACTCCAGTTCTCCGTCAGCTTCACTGGCTTCCCATTGAAGTCCGGGCCCAATTCAAGGTGTTGGTGATGACCTATAAAGCCCTAAACGGCTTGGGTCCTGGTTACCTGAAGGAGCACTTACTTCCATATATGCCCAGTCCCCCCCTGAGATCGGCGGGAGAGGCCCTTCTCCGGGAGCCCTCCGTGAAAGAAATTAGGAGGGTGGCTACTCGGAGGAGGGCTTTCTCAGCGGTGGTGCCTAAGTTATGGAATGCGCTCCCCAGAAAGGTCTGCCTGGCGCCGTCGTTATTTGTTTTTCGGCGCCAGGCGAAGACCTTTTTATTCAAGCAGCATTTTAAATGTTAATATTATTGAATTTTTCTGGTCAGGGCAGCTTAAATAAATAAATAAATAAATAAAGTTAACTAGTTAATTGCATACAGATTCTTGCTGTGAAAAAGAAAAATGTATACGAAATAGACTAAAAATATTATTTAATAGAGTTTATAATTGCTCCAAAACATGCACCTACCTGGCTTCTTGTAAGTTACATAAATGTAGAGTCCTAGAACGATGACATAAGTGAGCAGTGCAGCCCACCAATTAATAACAAACATCACTAAACAGCAAAGAATTGCTCCTATTAGAGATACCCACATGTTGTAGTACTTAAAAGCAGGGCGCCAGCCTGTTTAAAAAGAAATATGTTTATGAATGGAATGTATCTGAATATATCTTCAGTTTGTATCTGAAACCCCTGTGGCATTTTAATATTGTATACACTATCCTTTCACAACCTAGTGCCCTGGCAGATGCTTTAAACAATAATTTCTAGCATTCTTGATCATTGGCCATGATGGTTATAATTGATAGGACTGGACATTCCAAACATTTGGAGGGTGTTGGGTTGGAGAAGCCTGGTATATGCACATAAGTTGCCAACATTCTAGCTATATGTGCTGTTTTCATATTTATAAGTACCAAGAAATTATACAGAAACATCAGTTATCTGTAAAAAAATGAACAAGGAAAAAATAATGATTTTTTTTAAACTTTCAAGGTACTTTGATGACTTTCTACTCACAACTTAGACAGTTTGAAATACAAATTTTAATTCTTTCTAGTTAAACTATTTGTTCTATTACTTAAGTTTAAATTACATTTTCTTTAAAATGCATCTTGATGAGAACAGCAATGTAGAATTCATACCTGGAGATTTTGCAAGTGAAGCATGGAATACAGAGAAGTTAATTAAGGCATAGGAAGCCAAGAAGAAGTTGGAGATAATTGGAGCAATTACATTCAGTTCAGCTGTAAATATAGAAACACACAATTATATTGTTACAATAAATAAGTATATGTAACAGCTGTTCTTTAAATGTATATTCTTGCACTCCTGCACATATGGCAAGGCCTGCAAAAACCACAGATGTAAACTTACAAAAAGCTCTACAAGATTAGAATTGATGCCCTTCCTTTTCATGTGCAGAAGTGCTACATACTGGAAGTGAGGAGACAGAACCTGTGCTTTCCTAATAATTTCTTATTTAGTAGCCAACAGAGAGCTACTAAACAGGTATCTCCAAATGCGAGGGAGCAATTCCTGAACTGAACTGACAAGATGGCAGGTAGTCCATGTGACAGCACAGAATACCCACATAGTACTGGCAGGTATTCTTTTTACTCATTTTAAATTTTGTGCAGTCCCAGTTAGTGGTGGGAAGAAAGCTAGCTGGTCAGGAGGAACCAAACAGATCCTTCTTAAGGAACCAATCACAACTAACTATAATACAGCAATTAATCCTCACAACCATGCTATGAGAAGACAGGAAAAGATTCTACGGTGTTTCCTGAAACCTTTATAAAACTGGAGATTATAAATCCTGGGGACTTTTTAGAATTGGTAATGATGGAAAAAAGGATGTGAAGTTGCTATCTGTTCTGACAGAGTTCCATAAAGCTCACATCAACCTAAAATGTTTTATAGGCCGGCTACTACTGCCCAAGCTGCAGTCTAAGGAGACAAACATTCTTCCTCAGCAACTGAAGCAAGCTTAACCATGGCAGGACCCAAGGAAGCCAATGCTTATGCAAGAAGGCACTGACAGTGGATGCAAAGTGATGCAATGGAAGTGGAAGACAGTGGATGCAAAGTGAAGGAATGAAATATTCTTGGAAATTTGAGGGAGATGTTCCCTTCTGCAGCTGCTCTATCACAGAAAGAAACTGTGCAGGAAGGTGATATGTTCCTCCCACTTTCATGCACACACAGAGTTCTTCTGCACTCAGCGTATGGGTTTTACTTATTATAGTTTTATACTACCCAAGAGCAAAATTCTCTAGAGAGTTCGCAACTTTGAGGTCAAGTGCCTAAATCTAACACAGCTTTCTAGAAGACCCTATCTATGCTTTATAAAGTATTTTCTCAGATGCTGATTGCACTGGACACAAAAAATCCCTATCTGACTCATAGACAAAAACAGTTTAGACCTTACAAAATAAAGAAACAGAAGGCTAGTTCATGCATCCTTTAGCAAGCACTTGCTTTGCACATGAAAGCATGTTTTATGAAGCAGCTATTTTAGGTCAGCTACCAGTTTTGTGGGCACAGTTAAGTATTAAGATAAGACAAATGTCAGTTTTGGTATCTCTTCAACATATCAGCTGACCCCATTACTTAAAGGTTAAAGTATCTTTTCTGTAATCAGCAATTTTTTCTGAGATGTACTAAGGCTCAAGTTGCTAAAAAAATGTTCAAAACAGCATCAAATTTCTCACATAAAGCGGACAAGAAAATAGCATATGTAGAACAGCTTTTAAGTAACTGTCCTACTTGTACAGGGCTACTGCTAACAATGAATCTCAAGCAACACTGATTTATTGGCACTTTTATTCACCTTACAGCCATGGAAAACAATTCATATAGCTTAACTTATAGTTTAATACTTTAATTTCTAGCTTGCAATAAATGCATACATGTAAACAAGAGAGATGTACATAATTTATTGATAAATACTTGTGCTTGGGATACCTTGAGAGATGTATAACGTTGGACAAGAGTCTGCTACTTAGCTGAAGTAACTAAGGGTGTGATCCAGTGTCCTCCACCCTTGAAGCATGGAGCTACATACTTCAAATGCACATCATTCCATGCCTCCTGCCCAAAAATAACTGCTTTGGTGGAGCCTCACAGAGGGGAAACAAAGAGGTTGAAGTATTATTTGACTATGGCAAAGTATTATTTGACCCAGCCTTCTCCCCTGAAAACCCTCACACCCTGTCAGTGTGCACTCTCTCTCTAGTACACTCTCTCTCCCCGCTCCAATTTCTGATCTCAAAGAAGCAGCTGGGGCAGTACAGGGGCTCCACATTTATCCAGAGCTGGCATTCCAAATATTCCTATGGGCACCTAGACAATGTTGTGAGACCACAGGACTCACAACAATCCATTGCCTATGTAGTCAAGGTGAGTAAGTTGTGTGTGTCGTTCTTAAAGGTAAAGGTTTCCCCTTGATGTTACGTCCAGTCATGCCTGACTCTAGGGGGCGGTGCTCATCTCTGTTTCCTAGCCAAGGGAGCCAGCGTTTGTCCACAGACAGTCTCCGTGGTCATGTGGCCGGCGTGACTAAACACTGAAGTGCACAAAATGCTGTTACCTGCCCACCGAAGTGGTACCTTTGTATCTACTTGCATTTGCATGCTTTCGAACAGCAAGGTTGGCAGGAGCTGGGACGGAGCAACGGGAACTCACCCCATTGTGCAGATTCGAACCGGCGACCTTTTGAGCAACCAGCCCAGCAGCACAGCGGTTTAAACCACTGCGCCACCTGCAGTCCCTTCTTAGCTTAATGTCGTTCTTAGCTATGTTTTAAACAACAAATCTGAACCTTAAATAATGTAAATCAGTTGTGGAAGTTATTCTGTAGATATGAATCATGCAGAGCTACTTAAATTGTCACACTAAGTCATTGGTTTTACCTCCAAACATACAACAGGCAAACGGTTATAGGCTGCCTTCAACTTTCTTCTTCTTAGTTTATAAATATTCTCTATCTCAATAGTGCATCAACCACTGAAAGTAATGACCATAACTACAATTTGTTAATTTGGATATCATGTCACACCACAGTTAAGCTTCTGCTGTTAAAAATGGATAGGATGTCTGCACTGATATTAAAATCATTCCACAAATGCAAATAGGCATATTCAATAGCATTTTTAAAGCAACCACATACTACATCCTGCAAGTATAGTCCAAAAGGGCTGGAACACTACAATTTATTTATTGCATCAAACTTGAAGTGACAATGTTATTGCAAATGCATTTTCAGTTCTAACAAAGATATACTAACCATAGTATTGTTTTGTTTGACCTGCATCTAGTAAGAAAGCTCTCAACTATAGAACAGAAGCCATTATAGAAGAAAGTGGTTTTCATTGGTCCCCTTCAAAAAATTGTCTTTGTACCGACAACTTACAATCAAACGGAAAACCATTATATGGAACTAGGACACATGAACCATACCACATGATTCAAAGAAAGTTTAAGAAATAAGGAGAACTATTTATAATGAGAAGCAGCATATAAACTAACCAATCAATATAAATCCAAGAGCAATCAAGAAGGTCAGAAGATAACCCCTCAAAGGTTCGTTATTCTTCCCATAGCCTTTAGCAAACATCAGGAAACCGGGATAAATATTGTCTTTACACAAAGCCTAGAGGAAATAGAAAGAGGTAAAACATTGTCATATAATGGTATAAATCAAGACATAAAATTTTAATATAAGGCTCAGCACACATGGCCATTTGAAGAGTATAAGTAGCATCATAGCTCACCAATTCAAAATGGCCTTAAGTACCATGAGAAAAGTATGGCCAGTACAAAACTACAGATATTGTTAGATGCAGCTATAATTTATTGTAATGAATAATCATTTTAAAGTGTTAAAGAAATTATGAGTGTTTACAGTTTTTGGGTTCCAGTTGATAGTGGTAACTGGTTAAATGTATTAATATAAGAAAGTCTGAAAGCTTTCTTTTAATTATTATGAATGCCAATCTACCAGTAAAAATATTCTTATTCTTTATTCTTATCTCAGTTCAAGTTCAGTTATAGGGTCAAATTATAAATATCTTAGAAAAAATTTATAAACCTCAAGTTTTGGAAAAGTCATTTTTGAAACTCTATTTAAAATCAAATATAAATATGATCACACTGACTACAAATGAGTTAAGTTTCTTACCTGGAAGATTTTAGGTGCACTGACAAGAGAGGCTAATGCGGAAGAAAGGGTGGCAGAAAATATGCCAGCTGATATCAGAGGTGCAAATCCTGATACCATACTCATTACCTGGAAGTAAAACTTAACTTTAATAAAGGCAGACCTAACATTTAAGCAGCATTGGTGCAAAATCATGTAAAAATTAAATCCTATGTAAATTGCTATGAGAACCATTCAGTATTTAGATAAAGCAGTACTTTACTTTGTGAAGAACTTGTGGCTGAATTTGTTTTTCCCAGTTCCCTCCCATCTGTTTTGTCATTTTGTACTGTGCTGATTTTATTGGGTATGTGCAGGCAGGGACTCTGTGCGCACACGCACAGTCATGTGTGTTTTAAATCTCTCAGCAGATCCTAGAAAACTTTAGATGTTTTATAAATGATCATACATGTTTATTATTTCCTGACTTTGGCAGAACTATGTTTGATTACCATTTCTCAAAATAGTGAATGCAGTATAACAGGCTAAATACAGCATTGAAGAATCTTGGACCCCTAACATCATTATTAGGTTTTCAGGCATGAGATCTTTCAAAAAAGACAAGTGACTGTCAGGATTTGAAGCCCTGACATAGCTTTCCCAATGACAAGCAGCATGTTTCCCTCTGCAAGTGCCTGCAGGACTGCTAAGACACTTGGGTACTTGCAAGGATCGGTGCCTGTCCAATCATGCAGCACAGCTGGCAGTCCTAGAAGGTTCTACAAAAGGCTTTCCTGTGTTGCTCAGCTTGGTCACAGTGACACAGACTTCTGTGGGAAATTCCGTGTACCTGATTCTGCTTCTAATCTTGTCTTTGATTTCTGCCAGCTCCTGCTTCCCTTCAGCCTGATCCTGCCTTGCCAAGTACTTGCCCTCTCTGACTTGGCCCCTGGGCCTGCTTTGTTTACCAGTATCTGATCTCAGCTTGCCTTTGGTCCTGCCATGCCTTATCAGTAGGTATGCCCTTGCCTGTTCCTGATTGTCTTTGCTTATGGACCTACCATGCCATGTTAGCATCTGACTCACTTGTTCCTGACTCTGCCTTTGGTATGTCTTGACAGTTATCTGACCCTTGCTTGTTCATTACTTTGCCTTTGTCTCTGGCCCTCTTAGATTCAACTATGTCCACCATCAACCCTGCTCCTAGTGTTCCATGAATGGACATCTACCAACTCTATCCGAGACCTCAGTTTGCTGTGGAAAAGTTAAGCAGTGCAGAAAAACCTTGTAGAGAGCCTTCCAGAACTCCCAGCTGTACTATATGATTATACACCTCTGATCCCTTAAGTGCTTATAGACATACCCCTGGTTCTGCAGGCACTTGTAGGGTGAAATGTGCTGTCCTTACCAGAGGGAGCTGTGTCACAGCTTCAGATCCTGTAGTGACAATGCCATACAATAATACAGAAACTACACAACTTTGTATCCTTTAATGAATTTACTGCAAGAGCCGCACAGAAAATAGCTATGCTTGGTAGATTCTGCACAAAAGTATTCAAACAGGAGAACATTTCCAGGGTCTCCCTTGTACATGCTGAAATCAAATTTTAGCAGGTGTGAAATTGTGCATTTTCAAGATACTGATAATTTAATATCCGTACAGCTGTACGGCACGTAACAGATTTCAAACAAGGTAATTCCTTTAAAGGTAATATCCTGTTAATGTTCAAGCTCCTAAAAGCTGGCAGGGAAGGCCTGGTTGGTGACAAGAAGATGGGCCTTTTCAGTGGTTCCCCCCTTCCCCCATTATGAAACAAGCTCCCCACTGGGCCCACCTGGCACCAACTTTAGTATCTTTCTGGTGTCAGGTTATAACTGTCCTCTACCCCAGGGCATTTAAATAGTTACTACTAAACTGGGGCTTTGTTGGCTGCCTAAAGAAGTCTTAGTATTTAATTTGTATAAGTTGCAGTTTTTTAAAATTTGCTTTAAATTTTCTTTTTATGAAGTTTGTATTGAGGTTTGTATTTTATATTGTATTTTACACGCTGTAAACCACCAAGAGAGATTTGGCTATTGGGTGGTATAGAAATAAAATAAATAAAAACTCAAGTATTTAAAAATTATGTACTGTCCCTGTATGGAATTCATATTCTTGTAGACAAATTTGCCTTGCTTCTGTAGCATCAAATTAGCAGAATGTATTCCCATTTCCAACATCATAGCACAAACAAGAAAAAATACTTCCTTCTAATTTGTTCCTCCATTTATATCAAGTAGTTCATTTATTTTGTAAAGCATGCACAAACTATCTTAAGCTATCTTAAGCAAACGCTCAGCAGATATTCCCAAGAATTAGAAATCACTGCTTACTTGGAAGCTGTTCATGAGTCCATAATGACATTTCCTCTTTTCACAGGAGGAGAAATCAAAGTTCAGCTTACATGCCGCAGTAGTACAGTTTGTCAGCTCATAGATAATTGTGTCATTAATGCTCCCTGTGGCATCCCGAACAACACAAGCACCTGGAGAAGAAGGTGCAGGAGTAATGACCTTTCAAGAAGTAAAGCAATCTACACTTCAGCTGTTTCCAATATATTGTAGGGAAAAAGGACAATTTCAATTAAGTTACTTCTGAAACACACATATACCCCACAACCTCCCATATCTATAACATCTATAAAATGGAACACTTTAAGTAGACAGTTCAATTTAGAGCCACAGCACTGTTGACAGAAGCATCATTAACTGTGCACCCTAGATATGCCTGCTCAATAGGTAAATCCTATCTTCACCAGTAATTACTTCCAAGGAATGGTATATGGGATTGCAGCCTCAGGCACTGTTGACAATGCCTGTTAATCTATTTATTCTGCATACAAGTTGCTGAAGCATCATGAGAATCTCAGTTTTTTTAACAATATGTAGACTCATTGGTAAGAACTGAGACATGATAAAACTGTTTCTGGTGAATAAATAAAACAGATAACTATGCCAAGGAGTTGGAGTCACAAAAGGTAACTGGATTGTTTTATGAAGGAATTTGTATATATTTGTCTTAAGGATTAGGATGCTTTTAATTTTTATGACATGAACTTGTGTTTTTTTAAATGTTATGCATCTCAAGCAGTTACAAGTTTCATTGCAATTTACTTCTTGAGGAGGATTTTTTTTTGTGCTTTCTTTAGGCTCACTTCTTGCAAATGCTAGATGTGGCTCATTTGAACAGGTCAATAACAGTAACAGAAGCTCAATAGCTCAAACAGACTAACGTGAACTTTGAGCAGCATTACATCAAACTGACTTGTCTTTCAGCAATATACCAATTGCCTATCTAAAAAGTTAACCTGTAGTTGAACTGCTTCATTATTTCAACACTCTTTTGTTTTAAGCAAGGAAAGTATAAAATCAATACTGTATTTCTTACTTGTTATGTCCATCACTCACAGACCAGCTTTCTTCATATGCAAGCTGTCAGTTACCTGAATGATGTATTTTCCACTCTCTCCCACACTGATCTTCAACAGTGCTAGCACCAGTATCAGAATCCCTGGCATGTGCATTACGTGTAGTCCCTGTCCCCTGAATCCACATCGAATGCAACCCTTAGGACCAAAATACTGTGTACTATTGCTCTATGGGGTTGGAATTCCAATCTTATACAGGGGAAAATGGTGATAGGAAGTATGTAGCCCAGGACCTTAGGGATCCTAAGTCTACCCAGCCTGAAATGACACACCTCCAGAGAGGAAAGGATATTAGACATGTTCTTAGGTCAGCCGAATAGAAATGCTCTTTTTAGAGGACAGATACGCAAGAAATACATCTACTGTTTCTCCTGCTTGGCCAGCAACAGCCCAGTGGAACTTAGGACAGTGTAAAGCATCAGGGAACTCCCACTGGTACTTGGAAGAAGGTCTCAAATATTGAGTACATTTTTCAGATAGATTTGGGTCAGAAGGTATGTTCTGTCAAGTACTGTTGTGGTCAGAATTGTGCAACTCTCTCCAAGGGATAATTGTTTGATTTGCTCTTTAACTTATAAGGAACAAGTTAAAACCCTATACTTTTGCAGAACTTCTCATAAGGCTAATAGGTAGCTGATATCCAGCAAGTCAGAGTAACATGTTTTATTGTTTTAGATCTGTAGTGTATTAGTGCTGTTATGATGATTTTAATGTTGTCCTTCTTCCATTTGGATGTAAGCTGCCTTGCAGATCAGTGAGATAGAAAATCAGTTTATAATTCTTTTGTGAGCATACATCTAGAGAGCAAATCTGAGGAAGTAGTCCAGGACACAGCTCAGGGTGACTAATACTATCTTCTGGGCTTGTACAGAGATACTTCCTGAGCTATACTGGATGCAGACTGTTTAGTGCTTTGAACTGGGCTAATAAATTAACTAATTAACTGGGGACTGTATAGCCCACAATTAAGCTACAGTGTTGCAGAGCAACTACCAATCAGTTTTGAATATTCAAAATGGCTGCTGACTGTCCCAGCAAATAATAGGTTAATTAACTCAAAATTTACTAACATTATGTACCAATAACCCCATATATGCATCTCAACTCCATGTAAGTCTATCAACTTTATATCTGTGATGGTTACTTCTGTTGCATGGAAGAGAAAGAAAGGGATCGTAACTGAACTACTATCATATAGTGTGACTTACTGCTGTTTTAAATATCAAAATCCTTAAATGTAAACCAAACTATATTCACAGAGTAAAGGCCATCTAATCAAAGTATCTGCACAAAGCAGCTGGAGAAAAAATACTTCTGAGAGTCACTGTGTATTCAATTTTAGCATACAACTACAGCAGTATACAAGTATGGGATCAAGCATTCTCCAAGGAATTAATAAGTGAAAGTTAATTACCTACTGATACTGCAATTCCTATGTAAACCACTGTAGTAATTAAGATGGCCAGCAGCGTCCCTTTAGGAATGGCTGATTGAGGATCCTAACAAAAAATAAGATATGTGGAGATATAAATCCAAGAGCAGCCTAAATTGGCTGGCTGATCAAAAGAATACATAAAAATTACTCACCGCAAGATCACCTGAGATATTTGCACCAGCTAGAATGCCTGTTGCAGCTGGGAAAAATATAGCAAATACTGAAAAGAAAGTTTGATCTTCTCGAAAGTCTGGTCCAAAATTCTCAGAAAATATCTCAGCTGTTAAGAAATATTGAAGAAGAGAAAAATATTCAAATGTTCTTCTACCTAAAGAGCTACAAGCAAACTTATAGGGAGACTAGAATAAAAACACTACATATAAATGAAAAGGTGGGGTTTCAGGGTTTTTTAGCATGTAAGGATTATATCTTCTAAAACTCTCTCTCACTCAGAGCATGTGCATGCGAGCGCACACACATTTTAATCTACCCTTCCTGCACAGCAAAAATGCTAGGTATCCTCTTAAACCAGTCTTCCTCAACCTAATGCCCTCCAGATATTTCTTATTAAAATTCCCAACATTCCTGCCTATTGGACATGCTAGCTGGGGCTGATGGAAGTTGGAGTTTAAAAGACCTTGAGAGCACCAGATTGGGGAAAGCTACTTATTGCATCTAGCTCCCCCAAATAATTTATAACACAGATTTTACATTAACTAAACCAGTCCAATTATAAAATGGTTCTAGAGTTAATACAAGTCATGTTTACTGTAAAATAATCACCACAATTACATTGTTATAAAATAAAAATGTTTATTATGAAATATCTTCAAAATCTCAAGAGTGTAGGACACAAACAATCCATGTTACAGAATACTTTCAGAAAAGGTTTTTATGGTGCTATTGCGCTGCTTCATTTAAGGATGTTTACAAGGGTCAGACAATGTCTTCTACGTGGATCATCCCCATGGTTTCTTATCACTTCCATCTTTTTCTTTACAATAGGAATACTGTTAATAAAAAAGGTGTAGCAGCTGCAAAATGGATACATAGCACCCTTAGAGAATTTGGATGACTTTACAAGTTTAAAACTAGAATTATGAATTATGATAGCTACCACTAGGGGATCCTTCATGGATCACTCCTTGTCGTGGCGAAGGGGCTTGCGTAGCTCAATGAAGCTATGAGCTATGCTGTGCAGGGCCACCCAAGATGGACAGGTCATAGCAGAGAGCTCTGACAAAACGTGATCCACTGGAGAAGGAAATGGCAACCCACTCCAGTATCTTTGCCATGAAAAGCCCATGGACAGTACCAAAAGGCAAAAAGATATGATGCCGGAAGCTGAGCCTCTCAGGTCAGAAAGGCAGGTTGCTTACCTGTAACTGTCATTCTTCGAGGGGCCATCTATGCATTCACACATATGGGTGCTGCAGTGCCTAAGGCCAGAAAGATTGCAAAGCGTAATGGTTTTTGGTGGGAAAACTCCACTCCCCTCCCCACTAACGACATTAATGGAGCAGAGTGCCCGCCATTTTCCCAGTCTACTGGAGACTGGACGTTCGCCTCCTCGCAGGAGCGAGAGATACTACAGAAAATTCTCACGGGACCATGAATACCAGAAAGAAATATGGTACTGAAAAACAACCCATTCACTGACACCGAGCGGGGCCGGTGGGTAAGTTGTGTGAATGCACAGATGGCCACTCGAAGAACGACAGTTACAGGTAAGCAACCTGCCTTTCTTCATCGTGGCCTCTGTGCATCACACATATGGGTGATGCACAGAGCAAGCTTACAAAACCCGGAGACAGGTGGTGTTGTCATTGAAGAACAGCAGAACGGACTGCCTGACCGAAGGAACAGTCCATTCTGGCATGGACATCAAGGTGGTAATGCTTGGCAAAGATGCAAGGAGTAGTCCATGTTGCAGCTTTGCAGATGTCCTGAATTGGGATTCCAGCAGCAAAGGCGGATGAGGCTCCTACCGCTCTTGTAAAATGACCTCTCGGCATAACAGGTAAATCAATTTTGGCAAGTTAGTATGCCAACTCAATTGCCTGTACCACCCATTTTGAAAGCCTCTGTGAATTCACAGGGGAACCTCTGTCATGGTCGGAATATTTCACAAAGAGGTGGTTAGAGTTTCGAACGGATTCCGTACACGATCTGTAAAAGGCTAGGCAATGGCGAACATCGAGGGAATGCAGGGATCGCTCAATCGGAGTAGAGGGTGATGGAAAAAAGGCAGGCAAAACAATGTCCTGATTGATATGGAATGGAGGAACGATTTTAGGCAAAAACATCGAATCAGTGCGAAGAACAACTTTTTCTTTATGAAAGTTCAGATAAGGGGGGGGTCTACTCAAAGGGCACAAAGCTCACTAGCTCTTCTAGCCAATGTGATAGCCACAAGGAAAGCAGTCTTTCAAGACAGAAGACGTAAGTCGATAGTTGTCAGAGGTTCGAAGGGGACTCTGGTGAGTGCTTGAAGTACAACTGAGAGGCTCCATGTCGGCATGACAGGACGAACTGGCGGATGGAGATTTTGCAACCCTTTGAAGAATCTCCAAATAATGGATTGAGAAAACACCGAGGAGCCTTGCACTGGCCCGCAATAGTGGGAGATAGCTGCTGTATAAACTTTGATGGAAGGTTTGAGTCCCGACTGATGTAGTGCTAGAAGAAACTGCAAGATGTTCTCAATAGAAGCTGAGGAGGCAGTAAACAAGTTGGATTCCGTGAAGGAGAGAACCGATGCCATTTCACCGCATATGATCTTTGCGTTGATGATCTTAAGGCAGATTCAAGAATATGCTGGATGTCAGGATTGAGAATACTCAAGCCCAAAGCATGGTCTATCGGACCCGAGTGAACGAGTGTTGTACTGGTACCATAATTGGCAGGTACAGCAGGCCGTGATATCGTCAGTACCGAATCGGTATCGTGAATCATTGAATTCGCCAGGCTGTGAGACAGTGAGGTGAGGTCTGGGTGGCAAACAGCTCTGTCTTACTGAGTTATCAGATGTGGTATGAGCGGTAGGCAGAGAAAGATGTTGCCAGAGAGTCAGAAGAGAATGGAGAACCATGGTTGATGGGGCCACCAAGGTGTGATCAAAATCCCCATGGCACTGTCGTGGACAATCTTGGAAATAACTCTCATTATAAGTGGGATTGGAGGGAAGGCATAAAAAAGTATGTTGGACCACAAAATCATTAGGGCATCTCCTTTTGAGCCTGGTCTGATGCCAGCACGAAAACAGTAAGTGCTGCATACCCTGTTCTTGTGTGTAGTGAACAAATCTATGTCCAGGTAGCCCCATTGGAGGAAAAGTTGATTGTCGTGAGTTGATCGTGAGTCATTTGTGTGTCGTTGACATTAGCCTGCTCAGAATATCGGCCTCCTCGTTGTTGGTACCGGCTAGGTGAACTGCCAGAAGAGCTATGTCCCTTGGAATGCACCAGTCCCACATCTGCATCGCTACACGGGCTAGTGAAGTGGATTTTGTGCCACCCTGCTTGTTCACATAAAACACAGCGACAACGTTGTCGGATGCAACTTGAACCACATGTCGCTGGACAGTGTCCTCGAAAGAGCGGAGGGCTTTGAAGATCGCCAGGAGTTCGAGGTAATTGATATGTTTGGTAGATTCTTGTTGATCCCAGGTGCCCTGTGTCTGAAGCCCAGCACACAAGGCTCCCCAACCGATCAGAGATGCGTCGGTATAGAAAGTCAGGGTGGGATGAGGTGGACGGAATGGAACACCCACATTCAAGTTGTGTGGAACTGTCCACCATGATAACATGCGGAGGACAGAAGGCGGAACAAGAAGTGGTCGGTTGGGTAGGCTGAAACATTTTGTTGAGAAATAACTGAAGCCGTCTCATTCGAAGTCTGGCATGGGGAACTGTGGTAACTGACACGGCCATGTGACCAAGGAGCTTCTGAACTGTAAGAGCTGGAACAGTTCTGTCTCTTTGGATTTGATGGATCCAGGAGCATAGATTGTTCTGCTGACGCGATGGGAGAAATGCTCTCTCTAGGGTGGAGTTGAGACGCGCTCCAATGAAATCGATTACCTGTGAGGGAATAAGGCATGATTTCTCATGATTAATGCACAGTCCTAAATCATCCAGAAGGGCGCAAGTTATTCTCAAGACTGAAAAAAGGCTTTCCCGAGACGGGGAAACTATCAGCCAGTCATCCAGGTATGGGTACACTTGGATACCTTGAAGCCACAGGTGTGCACACACTGGGGCCATACACTTGGTGAAGACCCGTGGGGCGGTGGCTAGCCCAGACGGGAGGACGTTGAATGCGAACAAGTTGGAACCGACTGTAAATCGTAAGAGATGCCTATGGGAGGGATGGATAGAAATATGGAAGTAGGCATCCCTCAAACCCAGGGAGGCAAACCAATCCTCTCTCCTAAGCAACGGAAGAATATTTTGAAGGGTGGTCATCCGAAATTTCTTAGGTTTGATGAACCTATTAATGTCTCATAGGTCCAGGATCGGGCGGAGACCACCATCCCGTTTAGGAACAGTAAAATATCTTGAATAGAATCTGTGGAGCCCCTCGGAGCGCATAAGCAGTTGGATCGCTCCTTTACAAAGTAATTGCTGAACTTCGTCTACTAGGACCGATGAACGAGGTGTAAATCGGATCGGACCCGATGGAGGAACGATGTCGAATTCTATTCTATATCCGAGCTGAATAATGGATAAAACCCACTGATCAGATGTGATGGACTCCCAAATGGGGAGTTGACTTTGCAGTCGATCCTCAAAAGGGAGAGGGGAGGTTGGGTGGAGGAGAGGTTCGCCCGACCCGTCAACACTGGCGCTTATCTGAGTCGAAGCGACAGCAGCTTTGCTGGAAGCGCTGTTGTTGGGGCTGCTTCCGACGTTGTTGATGGGGCTGGAATTGTTGCCTGTTTGGGAACTGGGAGTATGGTTGCGATCTGTAGGACGGACGGGGCCAGGACCACTTACGTCGGACTTGGCTTGGAACTTCCATCCAACGAGCAGTCATCCTGGATCGTGGATAGACTTCAGTTTGTGATCCGTCTGTGCATGAAACAACCCAGAGCTGTCAAATGGCAATTCTTCGATACGGCACTTGGTCTCTTCCAGGAAATTACAGCTTCGAAGCCATGCATGGCAACAAAGAGAGATGGCACCAACCAGAGCCCTGGAGTCCAAATCGACATGGTGCCTCACCGCAGTTAACTGCTGGATCAAGACCTGCATGGCCTCCTTTTTGAATACGCATGCC